ATTTTTTAAGGGAAGAGAAATACAGTGACAGTCCATTTTCAAACGAAACACCTCCTCCTCCCGCCTCTTTACTCTAGAAATCACGCTTGTTTACAGCCAGTGCGCTTTCAGAATTACTGCTGAAGTGACCTGTCTAGATGTAATTTAGCAACCGGCGCGTCAGTTTTTAGCCCCTTCGTCTGCTTCAGTCGTGCATTTGCTGGAAGGAATCTCCAAGAATCACCTCAGTTTGTCTTCGCTCCTTTTCCCCTTCTCTTCTTCTTTCAGCGACCTTAAAAAACAGACTTTCTTTTGCGGCGAACTGGTAGTGGATTCTCGTCCGACATCGCAACAAACTTTGTGCGAATTGCGAGGAAGCGACAGTTTGAAAAAGCCTCTAAGAACCGCTGCATAAACCACACAATCCCCGCGCACCGATGTGTCAGTTACACTAGGGAGTTTGATTGACAACCTAACAGCCAATAGATAAAGAGGAAGCCTTGTTTTCTATTGGCTGATGTTTATCTGGTCTCAACACGTCGACAGTTGATACATTTTCATTCTTTTTTTTTTGGTCGTCATAATTACAAAGCTGCTGTGTCTCTGTAAAGGTATTTTAAACTTTCACTGAGAATTTGAAACAAGCAAAAAAAAAAAAAAATCCTCCATACAACCTTTAATCTGAGCTTTTGTTTTAACACAATCTGAGCAGAAAGAACTGATTGAGCTGGAACTAGAACAGATGAGATGATTTTGTGCAGTTAAACAAGTCCCTTTAATTGACCACAGGCTCCTGAAAATGTGATGCTTAAATTCATTTAGTATTTTCTCTTTTTATTACTAATGTGCGCATTGTGTCACCATGGTAACTGCTGACAATTCTGCCATAGGCGTACAGGCAGAACACCCCCAGCGTGATGTCACTGCAAAGCATCAATAATTTCCTGTAATCCACATCGTTTCTGTTTTCTAAAGTGTTTCTACAATCCTTTGATCAGCACTGTGGGACACTTATTTCTCATGAACTATGATTTTTTTAATGTTTGTATTTATTGTTCGTAAAACCAGTTCTACGTGGACAGGCTCAGCTGTGGCCTTAGTCATGACAGATTATTCTGCTACCTGATACAGCTGTAACTCCACTCAGGCACACATGTTTTGCATGAAGTTAAAACAGAATAAATCCTTGTTGATTCAACGAGGATCACAAGACCAAGAAGATTGAATCATGGAGACACTATTTCTGCTCACAGTGGGATCATTAGGTAAGTACTGCATCTGACTATCTACTGCAGGTTTTCTATTAAATATTTCAAATAAATCAAACTGCTGGACCATATTTGTAACTTAGTTTAAATAGATGATCTTTAAGTCTTTATCTGTCTCTGTCTCTGATGGAATTACATCCATAGATTTATTTGTGATTTTTCAAAATGGGCTGACTTTCAATAGATCGCAGCGAAGGAGCTGCTCTGCCATGTACAAAACCCTGACCCAGAATAAGGTCGTTGCAAGAGATTTAGCCCCAGGTTCTCCACAAACATGAGGTGTGAGATGTGAGCGGGGTGACCATTGTTGGGGTTTGAGTGCCTGAATAATCCTGGGAGATGTGTTGTCGGGGGTTCATGCTCCTGGTTGGAGGTCACCCAAGGCAAAGAGGTCCAGGTGGACAGGTCAGACAAAGAGCGGTTCAGAAGCCTTTCATGATGAGTACAGCAACATGGTCAGTTACGTCGCCCGGATTGGTGTTACCGGGGTCCCACCCTGGAGCCAGACCTGGTGCGGGAGCTTGACGATGAGCGTCTGGTGGCTGGGCCTTCCTCCACGGGGCCCGGCCAGGCACAACCCGAAGGAGCGACGTGGGGCCGTCCTCCAGTGGACCCACCACCCACGGGAGGACAAACATGGCGGTTTGATGCTCACTTTTTCTGAAAATCCTTCCAGTATGCATTGCGCAATGACTTGGAAGTCCGAGATTCTTGATGCGTCTATTGCGACACCTTGTGCATGTCTGCAGTCGCAGTGATGTACAAGCCAGACTTGTTGTTGCCTTGTGTTCACAATAAAAGGCACATTTCTAAAAGTAAACTTACCACTCGTTGTTTCACATAACAGAGCAGAAAATAAGACTAACACAGGCCATTTCTTGATGACAATAGCTGTGCTGTTAACAAAGACATTTTTCAGATAATGACATGACTAGTCTAACAGTGGTCCCTGCTCCTCTCTCAGCCCTGGCTCCAGTTTCCTCTCAACACTTTATCTTTGTCTATGAGCTGAAGACCCAGGAGGAGGCGCGGAGCTACTGCAGACAGCACTACACCGACCTGGCCACTGTGGAGAACATGGAGGACGTACACACCCTAAACAAGATGGTCGACCGGAGCAAACTGCAGCTGCTCCAGCCTCCAGACGGATTCCTCAATGTAAGTGTAGAGACATTAGAGGTCGTGGTGCTGGGGTGGATGTAGCACTAGTAGTAGTAGTAGAATTAGTAGAATTAGTAATACTGGTAGTATCAGTAAAACTGTTGTAAAAGTTGTACATCCCCCTGAGAGCATCAAAAGGACAGACAGATGTTGTGTGGTCCATGTTCACAGCGTGCCTGGATCGGGCTGTATGATGACGTCAACATGACTGTGAGAACTACTACTACTGGTGTCCCGGGGAGCCAAATAACTGGGGAGCAAACGAGTGCTGTGTCGGGATGTATTCAGACGGACTCTGGAGAGACTTCCACTGTACAGTCCGATTACCGGCCATCTGTGTGGATCTGACAGGTGAGACTCTGGGCTGGTTCCACATCATGTAGCTCCACTTCACCTTGACGCCACAGAACTGACACAGTCGTTGTAGTGAGTGAGAGTCGTGTATGTGCAGCGCTGGTGCTCCTCCACTCCACCGTGTTCACACAGAATTTTCAATTTCAGTTTAGCTGTGATGAACACTGCGGCAATAATTTATAGGTTACATTTAATACATACATTCAGAAAATTCATTTTGTCTTATTCTATAAAAACTCTGTGTTTTCGTCTACTAAGACATATTGTGAAACGCTGAATATCTTATTTTCCTGACATGTTTCAGTGGCAGCACTTCAGAGGTGTCACTGTGACATGGCTCTTATCATCTGTTCAGGCGAGGTCAGTTTGACAGATGTGGCAGCTTTACCAGCCTGACCACACCAAGGGAAAAGGGAAATATTAATCTATGATGATTTTACAGCTGTTTTTATGAGTGGACAATTATGTCCTTAGGGCCCTATGTGTGACTTTTTTTTTCTTATCTGATCTTACACAAAAGCTAAAAATGCTTCAAATTTTATACACAGCAGAAGCTTCTTAGAACACATATAAAATGTGCACCTTTATAGCCTGGTGTAACCTGTACTAAAACGAACTAGTAAGATATGAATGATACACGTACCCAGGAATCTAGGTTCTAAAGGAGGAAAGAAGGTGTAATAAATTTGGACCGTAGGTTGAGATGAGAAAAGTGCACAAAATTTATTGAACAAGATCAATACTCTTTCCCAAATATTACCAGTTTACCCCTACATAAATCAGTCCTTTGTCCAAACAATTTGTCCTTTCAAAATAAAAAGTTCAGAGCTCTAAAAAGAAACTATTGTGTCTCATCTAGCCAGGTAGTATGATTTTTTGTTTCTTTCTTTCGTTGGTGCACAAGATATTAGCTTAATTCAACTGTACTGCAATGAAGGCCAGGTCCACCAAGAAGAGACGTCCAGGCGTCCAGCAGGTCCTCAGGTCCTGGATCCAGTGACTCCAGCCTCACAGCGAACAGTCCCAGGTCAAATCAGGTCAACAAAAAAACAACCTGCATAAGCAGGGCAACATTAATACAATTTTCGCAAAGCATAAATTCAGATCTGGTTGAAATCATTTAAAATTACTTCTAACTGGATTACAGCAGCTCATAGGTTTTTTACACAATGCGCAGTATTCAACACGCAGCACTAGCAGTGCACATGGAAGTGTAACAACCCTTAAAATCGTACATAGTTATACATTTCTCCAGTTGGTTTTTTATACATTCACTGAATCATGTAAATAATAAATTGTCATTGCAACATGTATTTAAGTCAAAGGTAGAAAACAAAATGAAGCTAGCATATCACTTTAGCACACTCACCAGAGAACAAGAACACACAAAACCTGGACAAATCTTCCTCTCCAGAACTCTTTGCAATTTGATTCATCTCTAAGAACCAAAAACAAGTTGTTATTTAACAATTTAAGCAATATTTTACCACATTTTAGCACAATATAGCTTACATGTGCTGTCCAGTTTCTTCACAAGATGGCGGTGCATTTGCAACAGAACCTACAGCGCCCTCTACTGGGCGCATATGACACTGCATAGTTAAACGAAATTTAAAGCAACACACTCCCAAACTAATAAGTAAAACTTGGGTGGGTTACACCTGGCTACAGTTTTTTGTTCTTTTTTTTTTTTGTTCTGAGTGATCCAAAAAAAATAAATGTTTAGAACTAAAAACTTCAACAAGAATTAGGCCTTTCCACAAAATTTGGTGTGTTTAAAATTAGCTTTGGGCTGATGAAATAAAAAAAAAAAGAAAATGGCTAAATGCACAAAAATGTCCACTGGAACCCCTGAGGGTTAAAAACACATCATCGAAACAAATCATCGAAGGGCCTTAAATCCGCAGTTTTGTGGCTTTTTATATTACTGTGTACACCACAGTCTTGCTATTTCCATTAGCACATCTTTAAATAAATGTATCTGTGGAGACAGTTCCAGCCTGTGTTGGTCATGACATATAGATATAAAATGAACCAGCAGGTGGCACTAAGCCTGTTTGTGATGCTGCACTGAAAGTAAAACATCCCAACACATTTGAAGATCTCTGGACAATGAACAGACAAAGACTTAATAGACATAATATATATATGTGTGTGTATATATATATATATATATATATATATATATATATATATATATATATATATATATATATATATATATATATATATATATATATGGGTATGTCTTAGGAACAAAAGGATGTCACCTCTTTTAATGGAGTCAAAACAAAATGTTCAGCCCACAAAGGCTTAATTTTATAGATACCCTGAAAATCAAGGTGAAATAAAAATGTGGCAAGTTAGTCCCTTTTGCCAAAATTACATTTCTGCAACTCAAACTGTTTCTGTTACATCCCAGGATCCTCAGAGACGTTTGTGCGCACTACTGATGTCTTCACCTGGGAAGAGGCTCAGCAGTACTGCAGGCTGCACCACACGGACCTGGCCAGTGTGAAAGACGCAACCCAAAACAGCCAAATCCAAGCCCTGACCCCCTCCGGCAATGTCTGGATCGGCCTCAGGAGGCAGTCCTGGACGTGGCTGGATGGAAACAACTCCACTTTCTCCTACTGGAAAACCCAAGCTCCAGTGCAGCCCAACAATAAAGACTGGCGTGAGCAGTGTGTGGTGGCAAACTTCGAGGACGGAGGAACATGGGAGGACTGGAACTGTGACAAGATGAGGCCTTTTATCTGTTACGGCCAGCCTGGTGTGGATCCTGCATTACAGAAATTTTATTTTTATTTCAAAAACTAACCTTAACTGATGTGGGTAGTTTTACGTCATATTAAAATTCAACATTTCTTCTGTTCTGTTTTAGTAAAGAGATACAGAATAAAGCTACAGCTGAAAACAACCTCTGCAAATCCAAATGAACCTGTGGTGACAGATCAAGTGCTGAAGCAGGTGAGTCTAATCAAAGCCTGTGATGGTTATTATTATTTGTCAGTGGGACCTGTAGTACTCTGCAGACTGAACTCTAGTACAATAAACTACAGTCAGTACATTTACATGTACAAATTTAAACTGATTTATCAAAATACATGTAAACTCAAGAACTACAGTCGAAGTGACGTGGTCAAAGATTCCATAAATGCATCTGGAATATCAGAAATCATATACTAAGAATATTAAAACAAATCAATAAACTGTACTGATCATATTAAATGTGAGTCATTTTAATAATTCATGATTCATCTGGAGAATTTCCCTGTGCACAGATTCCTGCTGCATGTAACAGCACAGTCTGATTTACTTTAAACTACAGAGTTTTCATATTAAAACATTCAAATATGGTTTTGATTGCCACAAATGTCACAGCTCCACCATATTTCTTTTTTTTTTTTAGATCAAACAATACCTGGAGAACGCCAACGCCACTGAACTGCTCAAACTCAGCTGGACTAAGGACACCGATGGAAATGTTTTTAACAAAACAGACAAAACTATCAGAGAGGAAACAGTAGTGAGCTGAAAATTTGCAGTATCGGATATCAGTTCCATGATATCGGTTTAGTCGATACCCTGATTGGCCCAGGAAGTCTCACATGAACTCGTACAAAGCTCTAACAGTTACACAGCACAATCAAATTACTGTATTTTTCAGACTATAAGTCGCACCAGCCAAAAAATGTGTAATGAAGAAGAAAAAAACCCATATATAAGTCGCATTTTTTGTGGGAAATGTATTTTATAAAATCAGAGACCAGGAACCGACATTTCATCTTGCAAGTCAAGTTGTAGTAAAAACAATAGACGAGAGAACAACAGACTGTTAACGTCACATATGAACAGTTCTTCAGATAAACTATAACATAAACAACAGAACAAGTTTACCAAACTCTCCATCTCACTTCAAATCACTAAATCCATTCAATTCTTCATCCTCGGTGTCACTTCAGAAACAACTCGGCTTCGACCTCCAGAGGTAAACAGAGCGCCGCTTCCTCTTCTGTGTCGCTGTTGTCAGACTCAGCATCAGTTCCAGTTAGAATTATTCTGGTCTTTCTGAATCCCGACAGGATGGTTTCAGTGTCACTGAAGTTCAGGCTTTGTCCATCCATCCAGTGATTTCAGGAAAGTTTCATGGTGCATATTCCTGCTATCACAAATTTCTCGCTCACTCCAAACTTTCATTCTGTTGGTCAATTATCGTTTTCGACTGAATATTTCACGACTTTCAGCAGGACAGAGGCTCTTTCTGCAGGAGACATGTGCAGTAGAGCCAAGTGACAGTGGTACAGGAGGAACAGGAGCAGCAGATACTCACACACAAGACTAGAGCCTCTCCATGCTTCAGTGTGAAAATGTTAACATATAAGTCACACCGGTGTATAAGTCATAGAAAACACCAAAACTATGAAAAAAGTGCCACTTATAGTCCAAAAAATACAGTAATTTTGCAATTAGTTAACTGTATTTTTAGAGGAAAACATGCCATTTTCAGTCTCTACACTTGTATCAGTAAATATCTAATACTGGCAGATACTTAAGGACAGTATAGTTATCAAAACTGAAAAACCTGGATCGGTGCATCCCTAAAGCGTCCATCAGGAATACTGGCTAATTGTACAACTGTTCCATTTATATATAAAAAAGGATTCTGTAGCAAATATTCACTGTTCCTCCTCTGCTCTGTACATCTCAACCATCTAAGGACACATCTGACTTTAACACACAACACGAGCTGACCTGCATGATCAAGATTCAAGATTTTATTGTCATTGTAAACAAGGAAATTGCATCTAAAGCATCAATCACTGCACAGTTTTGATTCCAATGCTTTCATAATTTTATTTTGTGTCCTTGTCATGTACAAAGAGAACCTTAAGGATTTGGAATAACAAAGTGTCAGATGTTCTGTAAAATTTCATGTAACCACAAGGATCAGAATAAAATAAAAAGTTATTTCACTTGTAGCGTGGTTTATCCGTTTAACACGTGAGCAAACACTTGATAAATGTGGCCCACAGTGTGCGTTAGTATGCCAGTTGCTGTCACCTTTTGTGGTACAGCAAAACTCTGCTGATAAAGTCATCGTGGTGAATAACGAGGATGCTCAGAAAGCATAAGGTAAGTGAGGAAGTTTACACTGAACATGCAGCCGATAGTTTACTCCATAATGAATTGAATTTACTTCATATTTTCTCTACTAAATCTCTCGTTTGATGCAGTGTTTGGATGTTATTTTCTTCATATTCGAGAAGGACTGAAGAGAAGTCGCTTTGACAGGACACACGAGTAACTGAACCAACTTCATAAACTGACCAAATACCGTAAATTCTGGACTATAAGCCTCAAATTTTTTCTCACACTTTGAATCCTTTGGCTAATAAAACGATGCGGCGACTATATGGACGGATTCTTTGTTTGGCACATTGTCCATTCATATTTACGGTCTATATTTTGGCAACATAGTGGATATGCGCAGCCTGAGTGCAGAAAACGCCGCTGTCTGTGCTACACGAGCTTGTCATATTGTCAGTGCACTCGAATAGTTTATTGCCGTGTGATAAAATAAGTTCTGATGCTAAATGAACATTAGTGAGGGGGATACGTCTTACCCGTGTGCGGAAATTACGGAAGCCTAGAGGGGTCACAACAAACGCAAATGCCGCAACAAATACTAAGAAACCCCAACACACCAAAAAAAAGCCACAACGGAAATGATCGCGGGACTCTATTTTAATGCAAACGGCGCAACAAATACAAACGCCACAACACAAATGCAATTGCCACAACACATTAAAAAGCCACGACACGTTAAAAAGCCACAACACACCAAAAAAAGCCACAACGAAAATGACCGCGGGACTCTATTTTGATGCAAACGGCGCAACAAATACAAAAGGCACAACACATCAAAAAGCCACAACACATTAAAAAGCCACAACACATCAAAAAGCCACAACGGAAGTGACCGCGGGACTCTATTTTCCAACAGACCGATCAAGTGGCAAGTGAAGAAGAACTACAACGTGAAATGAATAAATTACTTTTATTTACTTTTCGAACTTCTCCGTTCCTTTTCTTTTCGCGTTGTAGTTCTTCTTCACTTGCTGCTTGATTGGTCCATTAGAAAATAGAGTCCTGCGGTCACTTCCGTTGTGGCTTTTTTTTTTTTTGGTGTGTTGTGGCATTTTGTTGTGTTGTCGCATTTGTATTTGTTGCGGAGTTTGCATTTGTTGTGACATCTCAAACTTCAGTAGCAGCACATCCACTCACACCTGACTGATAGAACTAACCCCGCCCCCGAGAGTCTGAAATCTGCTGAAATCCTCCAAGACACTGACATGATACAGACAGAACAGAGGCTCTTAATGCAGGAGACATGTGCAGTAGAGCGCGGGGAGAGATGGGGTGAGATACACACCCTCCTCATGGAAAACACACAAAGAAATACAGATGATGCAGCTTTTAAGTTAAAGTCGATGGATGTGGCTGTAGAAGAAGGAAACAGAGCTGCTGCACGTGAGCTCGGCGTCATTGAGTTGATGGTGAGATTTTGGCGACAGCAGCGTGACGAACTGACTCAACGCAAAAAAAAAAAAAAAAAAAAAAACGACAAAAGCTTTCAGAGGCGATAAAAGCAGCAAAGCAAACTTGAAAACGTTCTTGAAGACGTGGACACCTGCGGCTTATATTCAGGCGCGGCCTATATATGTACAGTTTTTAAATTCTGTAAAAATTTCGTTGATGCGATGAATATTCAGGTGCGCTCAATAGTCCGGAAAATACAGTACTCAGAGAACTTTAATGTTTTCCTTTGCTCGGTCGTACTGTAAGTCCCCGCGTTAGGACAGGTGTGGGCCACTGAAAAACATGACCTGATTTTCTGTTATAATGTGATCATGGAGACAGAGCCCAGATAAAGGCCCACGCTGATGTTTGTCGACAGCAGAAGGTGCTTCTCAGAGCCATATGGAGGAAAAACCGACAAACCTGTGCAAGAACAAGGTTTATGCAGGTGTAAAAGTTTGTCCTGTAGACAGCGCAGACGTTTGGGCAGATGTATGGGGGGCTTCAGAACGTGTTATTGTGACAGGCCTCTGAAGTCCAATAAGCTTTAGTTGTTTTTTTGTTTTTGTTTTTTTTTTTGCATTTTGAAAATACAATTTTAAAGAGATGTCAATGAAAGTAAACAGTAAAACAAATTAGGACCCGACCGATATGGATTTTTAAAAATCTGATATGATACAGATAAAAGAGGCTTTTGAGGTGCCACAGCTGATACATTTGGTGATGTAAAAATTCACTCTAAATCTTCAACTGATTTAAAACTTTACTCTACTGGATTTTAAATTGGGTTATGAAAGTACAGACTGCCTGCTTGCCCCATTTGCTGGATAATCTCCTTGTTTTGTAGAGAAAACACTTATATGCTCTATATGTGTGCAAATCCTGCAGCTTGATTTAAAGCTTATGGATCTGACAGAATTAAATAAAGGATTGTGGAAATTTTCAGCAAACATGATGTAGAAGACTCACTGGATGCGCTTTATAGTTAGGGCGGCCACCTTGACCATGTCCCTCTGAACTGCATGAGTCCTTGCAACCCCCCATACGTTATGTTTGTATTTTAACAGTACTCTTACTCGAGTAAAAGTTGTGGTTCCTCTTCCTCCTGTAAGTAAGTTTACAAGTCACAAAATCTTTATGTTGACTGTATTATCATATCAGATATAATTTACAGATTTTTTATTATTATTATTTTTTGCCTATACCAGATTATGTTCACTATGCTCATGTTAGGTCCCAGTTCCATCAGTTTCAAATTATAAATCTGATGTTAAGTCCCGACAGTTCCTCTTTAAGTTACTTTTACTTGAGTAGTTTCTTGCAACAACTACCCTGTGTTTCTACTGGAGTAAAATGATTTAAATGAGCTGTATGTGGCCTGAGCTCTGACCGTTTTAAAAAAGGAAATACAATCACAACTGCTTAAAGTGAAGGTTCACTTTATTCACTTTGTTGTCCCTGTGAGGAAGCTGGTCCGATGTGGAAGGCAGACTTATGACTTCACCAGACAAAAATATATTAAAACTGATTTCCGTTGTTAACGCAAAATAAATTAATCACAAATAAACTGTTCAAACAAATAAACAGATAAATAAGTGACTTAAATTAAATCCTACACAACAACTATGTGGACCCAACTACAGAAAAGTCCAAACCACACTACATTATATAGGCTACGTCTAAATTCTCTTTCCTTGCTTCCTTCTCCTCGATTCCTCTCCTCAGTCCTACATTTTTCAGCTGTGTGGTCCTAAAGAAAACCTCAGGGTGAAGGAGTAAACCTGAGGGAGGCTTCAGGAGCCGACATCAGAGAAAAGAATCCAACTTTATTGGTCTCAGTGAGGAGTTTAGATTCTCTGTCCTCACTGTGTCTCCTCTGTGGACAGGACTTCCTCGCCCATTTCCTGTCGAATCAAGGAGAAGAATGTGGAGAAATGAGACGCAGCCGTACTGTCC